GCTGTGAGGAAGGCAGGGGGGTGCAAAAAGGGAGCAGAGAAGATGGGGACGGCTTTTTCCAGTCATCACCCCTCCTGTGAGACTAGTAACTCGGCCTCTGGTCCTGCTGAGACTGGAGGTGAAGGGGCCTACCAGGCTCCACATTCCCTGGCAAGGAGGTGTGACCTTCCTTGTAACAAGGCATTCTCCAGCTGTTCTTACATCTCTTGAGCAGAGTTTGACCCAACATCAGGTCAGGTCTCACACCAAATGCATCCCAACTAGCCTTGGGTAACCTGGAGTTCAGGCAGCCAAGGCCTTCCTGTGTTGTCATCTACCAACCTTCTCACGGAGACACACACTGCAGCACATGTGCAGCAGAGGATTTTTAAGAAAAATCAGCATGAACCTGGCCAATCAGCAAGAATGAGGAGGGCCTTTTATTAACAAGGGTTAGACAGACTTTTCAAATCCATTTGAGCACACTAATGTGTTTTGATGCTATTAAGACAGAGCAAATCAATACACAAAGAGAGAAATGAGGGCTCTAAAGGCTCCCAACTGGATTAATAATCTCAGGAATAATCACACAATGATTCTTGCAGTGCGTGTTGCCATAAGGTAGAAACAAAGCATTAAGAAACACAAACTTAAATTGGAAGAAATTCTCTTTCTAAGGAACAAAAGTCTTCCAATCACTGTTACTCTAAAATAACACATTTAAACAGGAAGTGTTTTTAAAACCTGCTATTCACCTGCTAACTTTTCCTAATAATTTTACAAATTTGGACCTACATTATAATTCATATTATAAAACAGGAAAACAGTTGTTTGGAAAAAAAAAACAAAAAAACAAAACCAAAAAAGGTTTCTGAACAATTTTTTCATCTGGTTTTGGAAGTCCAAGTGTCACAATTCTCTTTCTGAAGAAAAAAAGTTCTGGTAAACAGTTCAAATAAACATGTCTACACTGCTAGATAATTATCTAAATTAATTTTAAAGGGAGAGGAAAACACAGTTTAAATTTATCATATATCACCTTTCACTATACTGTTACAAAAAAACTCATATATCACTTTGCTACTGATACAGTAAACTGATCTATCAGTTTAATACATCTTCATTGTCCAATGGCTTGCTTTTAATAAAAAAAATAGGGCATGGAAAATGCTTTGTGCTTTTAGGTTATACTGCTTTTTTTCATCCTTAACACACAAAAATCAGACAAAACAGCAGACATCACTGTTGTTTTTCAAGATAGCCCTGTATTAAGCCTTGAACCCGAGACAGAATAATCTCATTGGAGCTGCTGCATTCCTCTGGGCCGTATGGTGGATCCACAGTTAATACCCCTGCCACACACAGTGTTCTTCCCGATTCACCTTGCTCTGTCACGGGGATGTGGTTTGTTTCTAGCCAAGTCTTCAAGTTGTTCTTCCTCTTCTCAAGTTCCTCTGGGCTGTAGGTTTTGCTTTCTTCAGGCGCAAATATGCAAGAAAGCCGTTGCTTCATTTCATCGTCCCCTTCTTTCAGGATTTCAACCTCCTGGACAGCATGGCCCAAGACAACTGATATGGACACTTTTTCATTCTCCAGGAATGTTGCAAGGACAATACTGCCATGGAAAGAAGGATGTATGAGTCACTGTATTTAACTGAAGACTGAGAAAAATAGGCCAAGGTTCTTGGAGAGGAGTGCTCATTCCACATAACCTAGGTATTTAGGCAATATTGAGTACCCAGCATTCTTCTTGAAAAGCATGCTGCTGTACCCTTAAAATACTGAAAATGTGGAGCTTTGCAGGTAACTTCTGGCCTTGAATTTGAAACTACTCTAGATACTATCACACAAAATGTTACTTTAGAAAAGCAAAGTGTACATTAAAATTGGGTCTGGGAATCTAAATATTTTTGTGCAGCATTCCCAACCTTGCTAAAGAACCTTAAATCTTCCAACATTCAAAACCAATACTTTCATACCTTCAGCACTTTGAATGCTAACAACATCAGAACCTTTTCATGAGAAATTATTAATATTTAATTGCTATTACTAAAAGAATAAGAGATTTTTAAAAAAATTTGTCTTGCTAGTTTCTTAACTGAAAACTATAGTTTTACTATTACGATGGGAACACACCAACAGGAGGTTCAGGCTCATGTTGCAGCAGCCTGGTCTTTTCCCAAGAGCACTTCCATCCCAGAAGTCCTAAAATAAATGTAGGAAGGCAGCTTGTTATATTTCTAGGATCTCTTCCCCATATATATA